CCCCCCCATGAGCACTAACTACTGTAACCCAGGCCTGGCCAATAAGTTAAGTTACTGTACAAGCAACCACTGAGACCCTGACTCATGCAACGGCTTCCTAGGTAGGTACTTAGGTAGTTAACAGTTCACGCCTGTCAAACTGCCCCCCTGCTTCCGTTCCCCTTCCCCTTCCCCAAAAAAGCACACCAGAAAAGCAAATCCAGGATGTAAGCATCACACTGTACCTCGCAAATCAGTCAAGAGCTCAGCCCTTCTCCCAACACAACAAAGTATGTACCTATCTAGTAACCCTGCCCTGAGACAACCACCACACCACACCACCTCTCAAACACCTGCACCTCCAGCATCTTCCCTCCCAGTATCTGCATCTGAAATATCACCCGTAACCCGGACCAATCCAAGCAAAAGAGAAAAAAGCAAAATCGGACCGGGACGAACACAGCCCGAACCATCGAACGGACCTCCCATCAACAGGGTAGGTGGGTAGCTAGTAGTAACTTAGGTAACTTCCTAGGCAGGGAAGCTAGCAGCCGCGCGACGGAAACAACTGTGCTGCATCCTAGCTTCCCACAAACCGATCGAACCCGGACTTCCCCCCGAGACTCTTACTTACTAACTTGAGCCCTGAGTCTGGCTGCAGTGACAAGGAAGAATTGGAACGGGGAACTTCCCATCCGGACGAATGACATTACGGCCTAAGTTACGGGTACGGGTAGATTCATGCTGTAGCCAGCCCACAGGCACAGAAAAACAAGCAAAGAGAAGCAAAGACGCAAATCCCAGCTCCAGCTCCAGCTCCACCGCGGTAGGGGAAGGGGAAAGACATCTACGGTACGGAGTAGTGAAGGGAAGACAGCGCGGTAGATCCATCGGTACGGAGTACCGTACCGGGAATGCGATCACCACGATCTTGCCATCCCTCCCTGGCTACCTGTCAGGAATGTTGTAGCTTCGCTTATCGAGGAACTTACCGGTAACCAAGCAATGCGGGAATTGACTGTTTGATCCATTGCATGCGTGGTTTATTGATAGGTACGCAGACCGGTAGAGAGATATCGGTACAGAGAGATATGGATATGCCTCGTTGGGTTGGAAAATCAATCCACCCAGTCATGGTAACACTCACAGCAGAGATGAGGTGGTGAAAATCCCTCATCGCAATTCGCTCCCCTTGCGTCGGGGTCGGACTGAGTCGTGGGAAGGAAATAATATGGTTGATGGGACGGTAAGCAGGAAGACAGAGAGAGCTGCGCGATTTACTGAACGCCCCCTGTGGCGCTGGCGCTGGCGCTGGCGCTGATTCAATTGACAGATTGATCTACTGGAGGCCCTTGCTCCTGATATACTGATGTGTACATCGACCTTTGTGTGTGCGTGTGTGTGTGTGTGTGTATCAGTAAAGTTATGCATTCGATAGAAAAGTAACCCAAACCTAAATCTGCACGATTGCCATCATCTCCTCTCCCCTCTGCTATTGTACCGGTAAAACCCCCTGGACCACTGGTTAGTGAGAACCCTGCAGCGGAAGATCAGATTGGATCTCCGGAAAGAGTCTAGAACTTGTGCATTGCTTCTGGCAGATTAGAATATTTCCAGAGAGAGTGACAGAGGAAGGACTCGTTGTTTTTCTTTGTGGCTAATAGGTGGCAGGCTCCAAGAGCTATGGATAGACGCAAGTTCCCCGTTGGAAAGACATGGGTAATGGGTACTGGGTTGGTTAGTTAGTTCAGCCCAAGGGCTTACACCCTCTCAAAAGACCAGGAACTGAGTCAGTAATTAGACCCTGTGGCGAGTCAGCTTGTCGGATTGGATTGGCGCAGTATCATGGCTACAGTACGGTACCTATCGAGCTAGCTGGGGTTGAGTAGAGGTTTACATGTAATGTTATCACCCACTCGACTCATGCCCAGCCAGCATCCACCTGTTCTGGGCTGGTCCAGGCATCTTGCTTTTCCTTTCATCCATCATAAACCACACTAAACATAACCATC